AATTGTGTAGAAAATTTCATCGCGATCTGACTCTCCTTTCGAAAGTTATCGTGTATACGGACGGACGGCCGGACACACAGACCGATTTTAGTAGTGTACTCACTTTTTGAGTACACAAAAAAGATGTAATTACCTCGTTTAACTGTTTCAAGTTTTGATTCAAGTTCACTCATTTGTTGGAAATAATTTTTATAATCTTGTTGTAAATCAAGCAGTTCTTTTTCTGTTTCATTAATTGAAATTTTTAATTGATTGTCATCGTCTTGATTAATTAATTGATTATTTTCTTGTTGTTGTTCTTGTTGAATAATTTCATCAGTTTTTATTTTATAATATTCTTCAAGTTCTAATCTTTGCGAAAGTGAACGAATTTCAAAATCCTTTCGAATTTCTCTAATAGCTCTTGGAAGTTCATTTTTATAAAAAGTAATTGAATTAATATCAAAATTGGATGAAGATACATTTTTTAAATCATTCATTTCTTGTTCATGTATAGCTGAAAGAAAAGATATTTGTTCTTTAAATGTTTGTTTTTCATTTTCAATTTTAATTCTAGCCATTCTTTCTTGATCTAATTCATTTAATAAATTTGATATTTGTTCATAAAAACGTTTCATTTCATTATGGTATTTTTCAATATCGGACATTGAAACAGCTATTAAATGTTGAACATGTTTAAATTCTCTTTGATTTTCATCAATTGTTGATTGAAGAGAATTTATTTTTAATTTGTCTTGATTTGTCCATTGATTTAAATCATCAACTAATTTTTTATAATAAATTAAATCAAATTCGGCTCTTTTAACACGAATTTCTACTATAGCTTCTTCAACAGTAGCTAAATGAGTTGTTTTTCTTAAATTATTTAATTTAGGTTTATATTCAGATTTATATTTATCAGAATCAAAACTATATTTTGATCTTAATTGATTTAATGTATGTTTTAATTGTTTATTTGTTTGTTCAAAATATTTAACTCGATCATGATAAGATGAAAATAAATAATCTAATTCAATTAATTCTTGCTTTTCATGATCACATTGCTCACACATTAATGCTAATGCTTCATCTTTTTCCATATCATTAACTTTTTGAATACCATGTTCAACTGTACGACGTATTGTTCGTTCCATATTCGTTGATACTTTTTTTATTTCTAAAAGATATTAGATTATATAAAATTCGATGTCACTCATGGATGAATTACGTTGATGTTGTATGGTTGCATTCCGAAGACGATACTATATATAATTCTATTTCGACTGATGAGTTTTAAGAAACTTTTTTTAAAAATATTCCTTAGTGTCCGTCCTACTCGACATACATCGAGACCGAACTACCCGTATTCGATCTTTCACTAAGTAACAACAACAAAAAAGATCCCTTTGCATTAAAATCACTAAAAGAACTTTCGGAAACCATGGAAACATTGTACAACTCTCCATCGACCTCGAGCATCATAAAAACAATCCTTACGCATCCTTCAGAACCGCTAAAAACTCATACAAAATGCCATCGAAACTCCTGGAGCTCCTTAAAATCAATAGACACCACGGGAAACCACCACAAACTCATAAAAACATCTGAAACCCAAGAGAAAAACCCAGAGGCTGTTAAAAATCGATAAAACCCATAAAGACGTCTAAGAACCCCACGAGTGTGTGGATATGGATATCGATATGAATCCGATTTTTCTCTTCATTTACATCTATAACCGCACGCGCAGACCTCACACCCACACCCAATTACAAATCTTTTGGCAATTGTCGAAATTTCAGTTATGTTAAGGATGAAATTTCAATGCATGTATGACATGAATTTTGACAATTGCGGAAAGTCAAGTGCCAAAGTCGGTGCTGCGAAATGCATGCTATCCGCGAATTTCTCGAATACTTGACAGCAGTGAAATCAACTCGATTATTACTCAATTCAAAATTTGTTGTATTTTTTTGCTATTGTTGAAAAAGATTAAGACATTTTAGAAAACAAAGAAAAATACAAAACAAATTTACCATGAAAAGGTACAGGTGCAGCTTGACTTTTTGGCCTGGTGAGCTTGGAACTTTCAGGTTTTTTTGACGAAGAGACATCAACAATTGCCAACGATGCTACAAATGGTGACTTTAGAAGTTGATATGGTGGATTTTCTTCTTTTAAATGAATTATGTGTAAATTATCCGACGAACTCCATTTTTCAAGTACAGTTAAATAGGTACCTGGTATAAGCAAGATTTCGTTTTCATCTTGATACGCAGAATGGGATTTGATGGCTTTTCCATTAAAGCATTCGATCATGAAAAGAGTACGCTCACCGGTACAACCAATAAAATTTTCCACCCCGTCTACTGTGGTTGTACACGAACTAACACCCCACCATATGTAGTCCTTATTATATTGATCACTAACATTTCCACGAATCCCACGCCAAATTATTTTTTTGATTGATGGTAATTTGTATAGCGCCGTCAGAAAAAGCTTCAAGTAAGAGAACCATGATTTAAGACATTTTCGCTCCCCAGATCGAAGCTTTTTATTTAATAATGTGTAAAAGCTATCATAGCCATCGGGCCACTCCATCGTATATAAACAAATGGAAGCTGATTCATCAGAGCTAAGGCCATCCGACGGATTGTGTGAGTTCCGTTTAGCTGCCCATACCATTGCATCTCGATCATGGATGGGTACTTCAATGGATTTAACCGATTCTTCAAGCGATGTTAAATCTTTCTTTTCGTAACCTTTGAGTGGCGTCAATGTTTTTGTAGGTTCTTCTCCTGCATCAAGAAAACGTTTGGCAGCATTACCGTGAGGCATGAATATATAATCGTCGGAAATGTCACCTGTTGGTAAGAGTTGAAAACTGTTGTGTTGCTGTTTGTTTTTATAGTGACAATTTTATTGACTTCCGAAAAAATAGAAAAAGAAATAACCAAGAATTGAAGAGAGTTTTTTTCGTCGAAGCACAATGTTTTGTGCTGCGTCACCGGAATTTTCTTGTTCTCCATCGTGCATCTTGTGATGTAATGATCTTTACGTCAGAATTTTCCGTTTTGGCTATTGATAAATATTGCAACTTTTCAATACTGTCATATTCTTTGCTCCATTCACTTGATTGGGGTTAGGTGCAGGTGTGAGGTGTGGGTGTGGTAGTGAGTGTGGATAAAGTGAAACCCACACCCCACATTGAAATAGCAAGGAAATTTGCACTCAATTGTCTGAAAAAATCTTCAAGAAGATGAAGATTAGCAATTTTATATAAAATTTATTGTCGATGATTCGGAATAGCATAATCTAATTATCTGAATATTATATCTATTTTTTTAAATATTTTATTTATTGCAATAAATAATATCTGTTTGTCTTATATTTTTTTCAATAATAGCAAATACAGTGTTTAACATCATACATTTATTCATTTAAAAAAAATTTAATAGATAATGTAATTTCATTTAATGAATATCATTGTAAAGTAATGAATCATATTGTAATTAGATTGTACAACATAACATTGTAAATGACATTGATAATGCCCGATTGAAATTAGTGTAAACGAAACAGGAGAAAATATTCTCCTTATATGTTTTAAAAGGATGTGCATGTGTGACTCCAAGTGGATTCTAGTAAAGAGATGACACTCATACTTCATATTCCCCGATAACTATCAATGGGTAAAGTGATGTTCCGAACCATCCTATCCTTATTGGGAATGCTCTATCAAGTGATTCGAATATGTCAATGCGGGTGTGGATGAAGAGAAGACCCACATCCCAAAAGCGAATTAAGAAATATGTTTGACGTTGCTATGCGAAAACATTAATTGAAAGGGGAAAAAGAGTAATTCCAGTATTTCGAAGTACGATAATCACTATACTTCAGAGTACCGAAATCCCACCTTTCCTTCTTGCACTAATCACATGTTTTAATTATCTTTTAATTTACATAATGTAACTATTTTGAGACCTTACGTACCATTAACTAACAAAAAAACAATATCTTGTTTATATCATTCTACATCTCTTTTTATTTGATTATTATGCATTTTAAGTCATCATGACTGTTGACTCCGTATCTCTTCTATCATGGCGGCTCGTTGCTTTTTCAGGATTTCATTTCTCTTAGTGATGGTATAACATATGAAAAGTCTCTAACTGTCATTGATCCTCCAACTTCTATTTGTACGCCAAACAATGAATTTCTTTTTTGTTTGTTTTTAATTTCAATATTAAATGAACATTGTTACTTGACGAAGGTAGTACTGTGAGCTCGTCTAAACGGAAAGAGAAGAGTCTCTAAAATTTTTTGCACAAAAATTTATTAAACAAAACCAACTGATAACTAGTAATTAATATAAAAATATCAATTTAGCACGTAGGTGAAGTTAGCATCCGATTCGAATAACTCCCCATGGCGTAAAAAATATTAGGAAACGCAATGCGAAACGCATTTCATTAACTAATCAATGCGTTTCCAAGCGTTTTTTCGAAACAAAACGCGTTTTACATCATTCTTGGACATATAGAATGCTTTTCACAGACTTCATGTTATATAAACGCTCTGAAATGCTTCTTGTATGAAACACATTTCACAACGTTACTGATACAAAACACTGCTAAACGCATTTCGTTTTAAAACGCGTCTTTGAGCGTTCATTTTCTGAATAATCTTCAGTATATTCATATGGAAGCGATATCTTCTATCCTTTTCAGCTCAAGAAGACATTTCATGCGCAAAAAACCTAACTTCGCGATGCTCATATTCACAGCAGAGACGAAATAATTTGACATTCA